ATTACGAGAAGGAAACCCTAAACCCTAAACCCTAAACCCTAAACCCCATAAACCCTAAACCCTAAAACCCTAAACCCCATAAACCCTAAACCCTAAAACCCTAAACCCTAAACCCTAAACCCTAAATGGTACTTGAGGCCCCTAGATTAATCATGAGCCTCCGGCAAAGAATACCAACCCACCGGCCGGACCTTAGACCCGAATGAACCAGTCAAAGTTCAGGGATAGGTTTTTTTGTTGGTTTGAAGGGCCTTTTCAGGGTTTAGGGTTTAGGGTTTAGGGTTTAGGGATTAGGGACTAGGGTTTAGGGTTTAGGGGTCCTCCAGAACCTCTGTAAGCCTCCGCACGGAGGAAATGGCATCCTGCCCCCGGCGTTTAGCGGAGAGAGGCCGTGTTTAGAGTTTAACAGAGATTTCATAACCTTTAACAAGCTTCTATAAGAGTTCTATGAGTGCTTCATAAGGTCATACTTACTTGGTACAGGGCTCAAAGCGTTGAGAGTTCAGGGTTTAGGGTACTGGCTCAATAGACAGCCGAAGGCGAAACTCCAAATCCTCAAATCCTGAGCCCGACAACTCCAAAGCTCAAACCTCTTTTCCCGACAGCCTTCCAACCTACCGAGTTTAATGAGAACTTGGTACCTGAATTAACAGTCACATGCACTTTTCTAGTCAATTACTACTTGGTTATGCGGTCAGGGTTGAACTATGCCGCTGCTTCCCTTTTAGGCTTAGGCATAGCTCATCCTTCCAACTGAAAGCTGTTATCTAGCCATGCAAGGGTACTGTTGCCCAGGACGCCGCCATGTGGAGGAGCGTCTATGAGTCTATGAGTTGACAGGAGCCAACAATTATGTTGTGTTGCTTTCTCGAATTTGGGGGCTGACCTGCCCCCCCCCGCCTGCCAACTTAATCTATTCTCCTATGAGGCGGGATGCAAAAGCAACGATATAGCAATCATCTCCAAGTACGCACTTCGAAGCAACCAGGGAATGATGTTTCAGCTGCCGGGATATGCTGCACTGGCCAGACACTGCAGCCACTGTATCAAGCACCGTATACGGAGGATAAACTAGTTTAAGCATTCCATCTGTGGTCTAACCTCTAAACCCACAATCGACCTCCTAGTATATAACCCCAAGCCCAAACATGTGCTCCACTTACGGCTTTTGAACGATTCGGGGGGGAGAACATGGTCGGGTTGAGTTTGCAACAACTCCTCTGGAAGGAGCCCTCCTACAATCAAGCTGCCCGGGGTCCCGATTCCGAACATCATCCCGAATAGGCCTCCCACAAGGAGCCTGAAAACCCTTCACCCCGCTGTAAACCGCTTTATTTGGCTGGAGGCGTGGACCATGTCCTCGGCACTTTGGCCCTCGCCCACCGTAGGGACCTGGCTAGGCGCTTAGGGTTCAGGGCTCAAGCTTCCGGGTTTAGGGTGGCAATTCATTTTGGGTTTAGGCTTTTGGGTTTAGGGTCTAGGGTTAGGGAAGATTTAGGGTGGAAGATAGAGGCCTTAACAGATACGATAGGGTTTTGGGGGTGGGTTTTTCCCAAGCTATGATGATAAAACGGAAGCCTGAGGAATGCGATTCCTCCGAAGCAGCTTTTCCTAAAGGGCATCACAACATCACCAACGAAATCTCGGGGTAGTAACAAGGCTAGGGCTTAGGTCGATGTAGGATTTCGGCTTCGCGGGGGGTCGCTGTTTCAGATCGAGCTAGTACTGGAGTCTCTGAAGAGTAAAAGCAAGACTTTCGCAGCATATGATACTAGAACCATAATATACAGACTATATGGGGATACCAGTAAATTCCTTACTTTTCAAACCGCTATAGTAGTTTAGGTACGGAAGCAATGATGCCGAGGCAGACCGGAGTTTCGAGAGGTATGCTATACTTCCAAGACTGCCGTCCTTAAACTTCTGGCTCCTTTGCAAGACGTCATACACGTTTTAGGTTAGTTATACTATGGTCCTGAACCCTACACCCTAAACCCATTATGGCCACAGCCAACACCCAGAGAAGAGTGCATCATTGATCCAACGATCCACCTGGCTTCAACCGCAAATCCCATCACATTGCACAGGGTTTAATGTAGGGCCTGTAGGGGCCTTAATATTCAGAATTAGGTTTGGGGGCCCATTATACACAATATCTATAATCAGGAACTGCCCAAAACCCTAACCCTAAACCCTAAATCCCAAAAATAGTATAAGTAATTATTCAGGCCCCTATATTAGGGTTTTTTAGGCTCGCGGTCTGGGTTGAAGAACCTGAAGGATTAGTTCCAGGCTAATCGGTTTAGGGTTTAGGGTTTAGGGTCTAGGTCTTTAGGCCCCTATATTAATCTAGAGTTCTAAAGCATCAATCTCTACGCCCCTGAATATCCAGCCGTGTCCGGGACCAGTGGAGAAACCTCGAGTACGGTGCGTAATGGTTAGAATTGAATGTAGCGGTATATGACGACTAGATAATGACTCTACGGTTAAAAACACATATTGTTACTGATAAGATTAGTACTAATTTATTCCGATCTATAGTAGAGCCCAAAACCTCGCCAGGCAGGCGAAGCTACGCAGCCTCGGCTTTTGGACGGTGCGGTGTCGGAGTGTCGGGCTCAGGGATTAGGGTGAGATCGGCGGGTTTAGGGTATATCTCGGGTTCAGGGTTTAGGGGTTTAGAGGTTTAATTTTTGTTTTGGAAAAAGAAAACGTTTCTAAGTTGTGTAGACGCGATTAGGGTTTAGGGTTCAGGGTCTAAGGCTTCAGTGTTATTGGCATTGGGTGTATGGGTTTTTACAGGGAGTTCGTCAGTGTTTTCGTTTTCCGCCTTCTGTGAGACGGCCCAGGATACATGGACAGGGCTCAGAAGGCTCTCGGTTTAGGGTTTAGGGTTTTAGGGTTGAGGGTTTAGGGTTGGGGGCTCACAGAAAGACGGTTTTTGCTGAGTATTGACGCTGGAGAATGCCATGAAAGGGGTTCTGTCTGGTTTAAAGTGCCCTTTCCATTATAAAGCCTAAACCCTAAACCCTAAACCCTAAACCCTAATGTAGGTATGCTCCAGAGTTGGCAAAGAGAAGGAGTCAGTAAGCACCGGGAAAGCCGAGGCTCCACTAGAAGCCTACATCCTGAATCCTGTAATCTAGGGTTTAGGGTTTAGGGTTTAGGGGTTTAGGGTTTAGGGTTTAGGGTTTAGGGTTTAGGGGTTTAGGGGTTCAGGGTTTAGGGTTTAGGGTTTAGGGTTTAGGGTATCAGAACCAGTGCATGCCCAAGCACTTCTCCTCCAGATGATCAAAGCGCTGGTGGAGATCCTCAGTGTTCAGGATTTGCTCAGCATGTTCAGGATTCAGAAATTGAGGATTTCATGGGCTTTACGGGGCCGTAGAGGATTTCATGGGTTTTATGGGGCCGTAGAGGCGTCTACTGGATGTTGTCGATTCCTCTGGCGTCTACAAGGTTGGGGGGTTTGGGATTTAGAGTTCAAGGGCTTCGGGATGAGTGAACAGGCCTTTGGGGGATTCGGGTTCACTCTGTCAGTGTTGTTGCGGAACCCTAAACCCTCAACCCTGCAGTTGGAGGGAGGTTGCAAATCAAAGAACCCTAAACCCTATAGGGTTTAGGGTTTAGGGAACCCAACTCCGAAACCCTAAACTAGAAACGGAGGGAGGCCCAGGAGGTCTCCACCAAGGAACACTAATGTGGCGAACTGCCGAATCGTTGTTTGTTAGAAGCATCGAGACCCAACGCACTCAAAACCGAGTGGCCAAATCAGAAACAAGAACCTATAGAACACGTTGTAAGTGTCCTTTTGCGGAAACCTTGAATCCAGAACATCAAGCCTGATCCCCTAAACTCTTGACCCTATCCTCCCAAAATCAGGAGCTCATCGATCCAGGCTGCTGCGATGTCCGCTGCGCTGCGATCGGCGAGCTGCCGCTTCAAATCGTCGAAATCCTGGCAGGGTGGCGTGTCTATCAACCGGCTACTAAGTTGGCCATAAGTTAACGATGTAGGGCTCATTCACATTTTGTGTGCGGCATTTATAGCTGCTCGGGTCAGCTTGTGGTTTCTGACTTGTCCGAAACGGCACAGGATTTAGGACATGTCTCAATGAGAGTGTTGGGCGTGGGATGCGTCTGAAAAGGGTCTAGGCTTTACCGGTTTAAAGGTTTGCTTGGTCTGCCTGATAACTTCCAGTCAAGACCCTCGACCCTGAACTCAAACGGTAGTTTCAAATTATCGGGGACCCAAATACAGCCCCTCAACAGTCGGTTCATACCAAAACTGGATCCTCCAAACCCATGCACCCCCCAGACCCTAATCTGACTACTACTACTACTACTACTACTACTACGACTACTACTACGACGACGACGACTACTACGACTACTATTGCTACGACGACGACGACGACGAACTACTTCTACGACTACTACGACTACGACTACTGCTACTACTACTACTACTACTACGACGACGACGACGACAGGTCAGTGCTTTCTTTCGACGCCCGCATTCCTGCTTCTGCTTCTGCGCCTGGCATTTCACCTGGCTCGTGCTCTATCAGGCTTAGAGGGGTTTTAGGTTTTTAGGGTTTCGGCTTAGGTGTGGGGGAAGAAGCAAACGCTTCGAGTTGATGGAACTTTCTGCTCCAGGATGCAACATGGGGTGGGAATCTCGATCTCCTGCGGACAAGCGGCCTCCGTGTGAACCTGAACATTCCTTGGCTGCAACTGCTTGGAACTTTCTGTTGTCCAGCAGCCTCTGTTGACTTTGCACGGCACGAATTACCACAAGACCTTGTACTGCTGAGCCCGCCCCTTCATGAACAGCCCAGCGTCTCTTTGCGCCACTCGTGGAGCGTATCTTCGATTGCCGCCAACGTCTGCCACAAAGCTGCTCGATGTAAAAAGCTGAACCGCGCTTTCAATTGTCGACTGCTCTCGATCTTGTGGTGCAGGGTTTTGTGTTGAAAGACGATCGGCTCCCTGTCTGTTCGCTGTGTCCCAGGCCGGTTCCTGCTACGGTCATCACTTCGGCTGAACACATGTATACGACTGCATATCTGATATGTCTATGGACTCATATTATGTCGACATGTACATATACCTTCATGCATAAACATATATATATATATATATGCATATGCATATAGCACAGAGGTACATAATTTCATGTTTACGTGCATGTGCTTGAGGCCTCCTCGCTGAGTGAGGCGGCTGTGGTACCCACGTTGCGCCGCTCGAGTGCGGAGATGCCTCAGTTGCAGAATGTGGAGTCTCATGACGCATCTTTTCTACAGGTGGCTCTCGCTGAATGAGGCCTTGGTGATGTTAGTTTAGGAATCGGCTTAGGGTCTAGGATTTAGATTTCGGCATCACCCCTGACATGAAATCAGGGCCCAGGCTACGGTCTGGTGAGCGGGTTGGTTCTCTCTGTTCGTGCTTCAGGATTCCAAGAATAAGAGAAATTGGTTTCGGGTTCAGGGTTCATTCCTGGCTAAAGAACTTGACTGTGGCTAACATCAAAAGTCCATCTTCCACTAGCTTCATCCTAATGCAGCTATTTCCATAAAGACCGATGATGCTCCCAGGGCTTTACTTAGGTGGTCGTATTGGCCTAAATCTTTTCCGTTTTGCATCCTGGAGAGTTTGCGTGTCACTCTGTCAATCCTGGTCCGATCACCGTATAGGGTTAAATTGGTTTTCGTTTTCATATGGTTCTGGTTCATATGCTATGCTTGGCGCGCAGACTCCAGCATAATTGGTCTAAACCTTCACCGCTCAAATTCCGCTCCCGGAAGCCTCCAGCGCACTCTAACGAACAAACAAACAAACAAACAAACAAACAAACAAACAAACAAACAAACAACAGCAAATGCATTGTCCGGCAGTCATCCTAAGTGGAGCCTATCGCCTAAGCCAGGAAAATCATGGAAAGCCGACCGGTAGAAACCGCACACCCCTCAACTTTCCAAACGAAGACCCTACTTTTTTCAGAGCATGGAACGCTCTTCCGCCCCGTGGATGCGAAGCGTCTGGCGGTAGGCCTTCCGCATCTTCTTCATTTTCAGGTCTTCAGAGATCAGTTTAGGGGAGCTTGGTTTGGGATTCTGGGCTTTGTGGCTGTTAGCGATGGGTCCAGGATTCACGGCATTGGAGCAGGATATGAGAGCATAGTGTCGCGCCGGGAGGTCGAAATTTAAACTTTTAGATAATAATAACTTAATATGCCTTCGGCCCTAAACCCCACGGTCTCAGTGTTTTAATGGCTTTCGGTCTTTAACTGCGACAATCTGCTTGTCGCTAGCGGTTCCTGCAAGACATGATGCCCGGGTTCAGGCTTTAGGTTTACATGTATCGAACCCCCTAAAGCCCTCACAAAACCCCTTCAAGCTACGGTTAGCCTTCAAAGGAACCCGTCAAGAAGCCCGGAGGGCTTGCCTACAATTAGCCCGAATCCCCCCGCCCCGGTTTAAGAGTGGAAGGCTGGAAGGCCTCATCTGATCGCGACCGCGCAAACTCCTCACGAAGGAGCTTTGCCTCACAGGGGTTTGCTTCGAGGGTCATTTACGTATTTGGCTACATCGCCCAACCCTCCCTCCCCATGCACGGGAGCCTCCGCCGCAACATTTGCAATAATCTCTGCACGAACTTCAGCGATCGCCTCCATGTGTACACTCTGCGCTAAGGGTTCGTTGTTATGAGCTTATCATCAGTTTATCAACACGGGTGTGTGCAGCTGCAACAAGGTAAATACCGCACATGGTAACCTGCTGTTTCAACAACTGGAGCTCGAAGGAAACTTGCGGAAACTGGACAAAACGTCGTAAATGCAGTTACACCTGGCATTGAACCCATCGACCAGACAATGTAATCAACTTACGGGATCCTGGTGTTGTGCCTTGCCGGCTCAGCTAACGTCCGCACCCCATCTCAACACAACTGATAAAGGGATCTGTATAATTGCAACAAACCCGCCTCCTAAGTTGCAAATATCCGGTCCTGCCTGGTCCGCCACGCTTCTTGCAATTTCACTACTCAGCGTCCGTGCCAGCGCTTGCCCTGCACCGTGTGCGTGGTCACGCTCGTGCTGTAACGCCTCCAACACTTCCTGCAACATTTCAGCAAGTTTCTAAGGGGGAGAAAGACTATGTGCCTGGGGCGCAACGCGACGTATCAACACATCCTCCGTCACGACAAACAGTGAAGATCGATGCACGACAGTTGAGGCCGTAGTTCGTTGGACAATTTTTTTGGTGGGCATCTGGACCCCAATTACTCTATGTCACTCAAGGAACTGCGAGCTCGGATGGAACTTCGCGTACAGGGTGGGGGTCGGGATGAATGTACCCGACAAAGGTCCACAGACCCAATAATCGCTATATGCGTTTATGTGTAAATCAATGACAAGTCTCAGATACACACAACGAAAGATTTGCCAAATGGTAGTGCTCGCCTAAATTCAATTCAAGCGAGTACCGAAGCAGCGAATATTCCAATATAAACACGAACTCCGAACCTCAAAACCCCAAAACGGAACACCCAGCTATTATGGTTAGGCCGGTTAGGCTAAACACTACGGGGCGGAAGTCCTGGCGCAAGTTGTCCAGATCAGTGGTGAACAACGACTCAAGGTGCGCTGGCATTTCCTCAAGATTCATGCCATACTGGAAGCCATATGAAGTAGGGCGTCAGGTTTGGGAGCCATGAAGTAGGGTTTTGGGATTTTAAAAGTCATCTGTTTAGCTGTTCTTTATCGGCTCTTTTCCTCCGGCTTGGTCGAAACACCACTTCGGCGGGGCCAGTTCGGACAACCTATTAACTTGGCCAGGAAAGGAACCCAAAGCCTTAAGCCCAAAAGCGTAAGGTCCACAGCTATGATCAGTTACCCGTAGCTTTTCGGGGACGGCGGCATATAGTGCGCCACTCCGCTTGTGAGTAACTCCACTTCTTTTTGCTGGTTAGGGGGCTTGGGGCTTGGGGCTTCTATTTGGGTTCTGTCCAACGTCCAAAACCCACACAGGTCCAGGATTATGAGGGTTAAGTAATGTCACGCATGCAACCCGTTTTTTTCACACGCAGCCGCACCCCCCAAGATCTGGCACCCACGAATGCTGCAACCATGTAACTAATCCCGGGTTTCGTGCTCTAAACCCTATAACCTTAAACCCTAAACCCTCTTCTGTTTAGTTTTGCAAAGCTCTGCCGCTTGCTGGCGACTCTCACTGGCAGCGACTGCACAGGACGGAAAGCAAATGCAACCAACTGACGGGCATTCATAAAGATAGTAAGCTCCAGCAACATGAGGTTGCAAGTGCGTGGCATTTGTTTGCACTTGCTTCAAAATCGCAAGGGGCTGCTTTTGCCTCGTGGATTCGCCGCGGCCGGCTAGAATAATTAAAGCGTCGTCCCGTGTTGCCCCGACAAGGTCTCACTTGGCCTCATTTTTGCCGCGGCTGCCTGCGTATGGGGAAGACATGGATTAAGAAATCAAGCAAGCGACTAAGCAACCAAGGACCTAGGCCTAGGCCTGCTTGCACCTCTTGGGCTTGTTGGAGTTGGCTTCCACTGCCACTCATTGATTGGCAGTCCAAGAGCTCCCGAATTGAGATTCGACGCAGGCAGGGCAGCCCGAACTTGGAGGAGCCCCGTCTGAGTGGTGTTTTCTATGAACTCCCACATGGCTACGGCTAAAACAATAAACCCTACGAGTGCGAGTGGTGTTTCGTATAATCTCCCACACGGCTAGGGCCAATAAAAAGACGCTGCTCCTTTCGCCCTCAGCGCAGCTACTATAGTATGATATCGTACAACACAACAGTTAATACAACATAATATAACAAAGTATAGTGTAATAGAATATAGAGTTCATCTCGACAAGACCCGCTCTTTCCCTCTGGAAACACGGCGTGGAGCCGGCAGAGTCAGGGAATGAACTGACACCGCGCCAGCTCGCCACGATGCCTCGGGTGGCGCGTTAGTGCCACTTCCGCAATCATGTTTCGATGTCCGAGTGTCCGGCGTGTTCCCGAAAGGATGGTCAGAGATGGGAACTTCCGAAAAGTGGGACTTCAGTACAAACGCAAGCTGGTGCCCTGAAGCCAAATTGGCCCAGTCACCGCACGCCGCCGCGGCAACGTCGTGACGGCAAGACAGCTGGCACTTTCCAACGTGCAAGTTAGCAGCTAGCACCTGCCTGTGGATGTGGTGCGTCACCGTCCACTTTTAACTGTGGATGTGGTGCGTCACCGTCCACTTTCATCACTTTTGCATACAGTAGGGGTTAGCATGTCTTTGATTTAAAACTGCGTCGCAACAGGTCCCCATAGTGCATGCCAAGGCTCTTTTGGTTCCCCTGCCCACAACAAAAACACCTGAGGGTGCCTGAGGGGTCAGATGCGGGGTTTGTATGAGATCGCACCTTTGCCTCGGCTTCCACGCCTGTCAAAAACAGAGCAGGACGATGGAATCCAGAGGTCCCAGACATGGCATCCTTACCTGAGTCGTTTGGCTGCATGCCTTGTTCTTGCAGTGCTGTAATACTTGAGAACGGGCCGCGAAAGCTGGGCAAAAAAACAACCAGAGTCGACAGAGCTCGAGCAGTGCGGATGCAAACAAGTATGTAGTGCCATGAAGCTCAAGCTTGCAAGATGAAAGCAGTACTCTGCGTTACACTCATATGCTGCCGACCCCACCAACAGCAAAATAAAGGTTCCTTATATATCACACCGGCAGAAACGAGTACCAGGATTTGAAGGCGCAGTGGACTAAATTTATAGCAACTTGTTTTTAGCACCAGAGAAACACAATCATAGGCACCAGAAAAAGCACAATCATGAGCACAAAATTTAGCACTAGAAAAAGCACAATCATGAGCATACAATTTCACAATAGAAAAAACACAGTCATGAGCACAAAAAACAGCACCAGAGAAAGCACAATCATGAGCACAGACTTTGCCGAACATGAAGACTGTAAGTATGAGTTCATGCGGCGAATTATTAGGCTTGAATTGGCAATTACTTAAAAAACCACAATCATATGCACAAAATGTAGAACCAGAAAAGCACAATCATGAGATCAAAATGTAGCACCAGAAACAGCACAATCATGAGCACATACTTTAGAACAAGAAGAAGCACAATCATGAGCCCAAACACACAATCATGAGTAACAAATTTAGTAGCAGAAAAAACACAATCATGAGCATAACATTTAGCACCATCATAAAATAGCGATTTGGCTGCTTTTTGTAGTGCCTCTGTTTGCAGTGGCTGTTACTAGGACCGGCGACATTTAAACTGGCCCACATAAAGATATACCCTTGCCGTATCGTAATGCCTTGACCGACGTCATTGCGCGTCGGAGTGTCCCTGCATAAGCAATAACTCGGCCATCTACCAGCAGCTTCGATGGCCTCAACATCAAACAAAGACACGTTGCAACGGATAGCTGCTCAGGAGATCGAGGCTCCGGACATTGAATTGGGAAGCTGAGCGCGAAGTCTCTCCAAAGCTGGCAAGGAAACAAACGCAACATGCTCCGATGAAAAAACAGCAAAGAACGGTGTGCAAAATAGCAATTGCGACATGTTCCGTCTGGAACTTCTACTTTTGCGCCCAAGCATGTGGCATTTGCTAACTTTTGTACGGAGCTCGATGCAAAAAAACAGCAAAGTTGGGAACACCAGTTATAATGCACATGCTTCGATGCACAAGCGGCAAGTGCAGCAACAAGCTTATCACAGTGGTACGGCTCCAGATCAAGGTCCACCATAAATACGGCACGCGGACGGGGCCTCCGGAGCACCTGGGATTCCAAAAGTTCCCATCTAAGTAACCAAAACGAACGCAGGTTCACTGAAGTGATTGCACAAACATGTTCTTGTAGAATCAAATCTGCTTTCAACGGTTTTAGCGTTGCATCTGAGAAAAATCAAATCTGAAAACTGCAAAAATGAGTTTGTTAGTTCACATTCTTTCACTGCTGTCTTAGAAGACTTCTCCTATGTCAAAGTTCCAAATCTAGGGTTCAGACTCTACACCCCATGGCTTCTTGCATCCTCGTCGCACGGTAATTTCAATCGAATTCTTGTCTGCGCAGAGCTTACGCATTCCTATCATAAGTCTTAAACTGAAATGTTGCGAAGACAAATCACCGTGGTGCATAAGATCGTCGCTTTGTTTGGCTCCGCTGCCCGCAATGGCGGCTCTTACTGCACTCGATTATACACCGGTGTCTAAGCTACCGTAGCAAGTGCGTGCTGTGCTGCCATCAAAACTCAATTCTATTCAAGTTTATGTGGCTCCAAACCCTGTCTTGTAAACTCAATTGACCTCTTCTTAGTAACCCGTGTCTAGTGCTGTCTGTTCCTTTTGTTGGCCGACTCAACTTAGACTCAAGTTCTTGGAAGTTCTGAAATTTCCCAGCCAAAGCATCGATACATAGAACATGTGCCACGCACCACGATCTCACGCAGAAGTCCCGAAATCAACAATCAAAAGACTCTAGCTTTTAGCTTAAAGCTCGAATCCAATTCCAAGCCAATTTGATGAGCCTCAGAATCCGAGTAATCGTGCTGCGCCATTCAATTTGTTTTTCAAGCTGGCACATTTGTATATATGCAAGCCACAAGATTGTCCTTGCACAGCATCCAAATTACAAAACCGAACTGAAGCTAAACGAAAAAGTGATGGAATTTGTTTGTAGAAGGCATAGACATTTTCGGAAGAGACAGAGTGAAACTAATCGGACGAAAGGGCCTGACTGACTGGAATCGAACAGCGAACTAGACTTTTCTGCATCGTGCATTGTTTCTGGTTGTGTTTCCTGTCTTACTACAGTTTGTTTGTTTGTTTGCCTGCCAGACTTTTGCACGTACATTGCCGCATTCTGTATCCAGCATTTTCTGTTCTGACACAAGCTGTGTTTCTGGCATTGTGGTTCCAAAGTCCTTCGGGACCTTAGTAGATTGTGTTTCTGAGCACACGTTTCAGCTGTCGTGTTTCCTGCTTTGCGTTTCCCGGCCAAGACTGTATGTCTGCACGAACATCGCTTCTTCACACGGCTTGCGTTTCCGGCAGTTTCTGGGGGTTGTGTTTCCGGACATGGATTGGTTTC